ATTTCCCGTCCGGAATGTTGGGACAAACCCCAATACACTAGTCCAGACTTTTACTATAGCCGCCTTTAAGTAATAAAAATAAGAAATAGTCTTAATGTTCCAATCTGACTTTATGACGATGGGTTTGGGCTCGAAGTGACATGGCAGGTCACCGGGCGTAGCCACGGTCACGGGAGGGACATGTACCTGACAGAGAGTATGAAATGATTATATGGCTCTCCTTAAAACAAAGATTAACCCGCGAAGCGGGGAGAGGAGTATATAAGGGCAGCCTCTTTTGGATTAACGGAGTCAGAGTGAGAGTTAGCGCTAGTCAGTTAGTTAGTGAGTCGTTGAACGATTGAGTTATCGGGAAGTTACCCGAATCGAGTAGCGCGTTGATACGAGTCCTCCCGTGGATCGTGGATTCGTTGTCGAACCTGAATTCGCTGTCACCATCATCCCGACCATCCTATTACCATTACCCGTAGCCTCTGGTAGTGTCCACATTCGTACTTATAGAGATTGGCTACATTCGCGACGGTAAAGTAAGTAAAGGTTCGTCGAACGCCCAAGTGCCACCCTGCCTCCGACATATATATATATATATATATATATATATATATATATATATATATATATATATATATATATATATATATATATATATATATATATATATATATCTATATATATATATATATATATATAGACTAGATTGTTTAAAAATTTTCGATAATTTAATCGAGATTACCTTTTGAATAATAATTACGAGACTAAGTTTCCAATTATATCTAAGTGATCCATAAATTGTTTTTAAAATATTTTTGAAGTACGAATTATTTATAAGTTATTTAAAAATTGCCTATTATTTAATTAAAATTAATTATCGAATACTAATTACACGATTAAATTTAACGCGAATTAAACTGTCATGGTTTGATCGCATACGTTTGTGAAATAACTGACGTCTCAATGAACCGTTCCAAATAGATTAGTCAACTGGCAACTACAGATATTGCTTGATAAAGCAGTTTAAATTTACTGGCTACAAATTGCTGTCACCTACACTCTACAGAACAGAATTAAATTGCCGAAGCGTTTACCTCGTCTGACTGCCAACAGTATACGAGCTTCTATAGAAGCCTTGCAAGTAGTCATTCAGATAACCAACAAACTTTAGATGCACCACGTATTGCTTGCCACTCTTCAACGTGTCCAACGTTCTAATCACGTAAAACTGCCGTTCAGTGTCGTTTCTCTGTTCCATGATTTTGATTATCTTCTCCACTTTCTTGATTTCTGAATACTCCTTGATATTTGTGAAACTTTCATTGATATGCATATCCACCGCGTGCAGTGTCACATTTTTCGTGTCTTCCGTAACGTTCACTAGAATTTTTACCTGAAAATATAAAAATTATTTTAATTTCTGCAGTGTTTCCTTAAAAGTAACGCAGTGAGTCATGAATCATGAAAGTGTTTCAACACTTGTAGAAAGTCTTCGTGAATGTATTATTTATAAAGGACATTTTGACATTTCATTAGCATTGTATCGAGATGCGACTATCGTGATTAACATACTGATAAAATTTGAAAGGAATCTGAAAATATATATCCAAGTTACAAGACATTTATTCTAATCATACAATCATATTCTAATACTACAAAAATCATCCAAGTCATTAAATTATTCATTAATCATAGATATAGTCATTAATATAGTTATAAGTCAAAATATTTAGAGAAATCATCTATAGTGTTGATTATATGTTACATAATGGTTCAATTATATGGTATAAGACCTCCACTAATTGACAATAGAGCACACGCACATACATACATCTAATTTCATCGTTAATATGGATCCATTAATATTGCACTTATGTATATAATCATTAATAATGATCTAATGATATAAAGATAGTAGACTGTTTCCTATCTTTTTCATTTATTATTAAGATGATGAAATTAAGAAATTAATTCCAAAAGTTCCCGATATTTATGCATTATACATATATCTTGTAAAGTTCATTCGTTAATTTTTATTTTTGTATAATTATCATAAAGAAACAACACCAGTTCACCAAGGGGTGAACGAGCCACTGTAAGTAGAAAGTTTGGAGCGCCATCTACTATGAGTATAGTTTACAAAACTACAGTGAAAACTTGCAGAATTTTATGAACTACACTCATAATAGTTTTGTTTACGAACTTGTATAGACTCCCCTTTATTAGTATTTTTGTAAAATATATAATTATTAATATCTATTTTCCTCTTTATATTCATACGTTTAATTCTTTTTATTTATATAAAATTATTGGAATTGCTATTATAGTGTTATCTCTGACGTCTGATAAATATGATTATATTGAAGAAGGGAAAATATGGCTAGAAAAAATCCCAAACTTTCTGTTTTTACAGGCTATTTCACTCCTACGTGAACTTGTAATCATCGTTCTAGTTTTTAATATTTGTTCTACATCTTCTGAATTAAAATATTTTCAGATCATCAGGATTCGTCGCTCTTTTGATCTGTTAGGCAAAGAAGAAACAGTTCCTGTTTGATAGTTTCATGATCGTTTCACTAATATTTCAAAAAATTAAATTTTCAAAAAATTAATATACATTAATATACATTCTTGAGAATTAAGCTTTTGTACAGAAAATAACTTTCACTGAATGCAATTCTTACTTGTTTTCCGATTCGTTAACGAGTTCACTGTTTGTTTGTGAGAATATCGCAGGAGAAGTACTTAGATTCATAAAAAGTGCAACTGCTTCATTTAAAAACACAGAAATAAACTCAAAAATGCATGTTCCTAGCACGTAGTACGTTCCAAGCCACACTACTTCCTGTCATAAACCGCATTACAATTATAAAATGACTCAAAGGCTCCAACGTATTACTAGGATTATGATAATCCCTTACTCTAAATTGAAAGAATTGAATTTAAAATGAAAATTTCCTACCATCTCCTTTATCAAATAAGACGTCAATGGATTTGATCTTTTTTACAAACTAAAAAACTAATCGGTTATATCTGTTTACTAAAACACCTATTTCCTTCGAAATCTCGACGTAGTTATTTACAATTGTAATTACTTTTATGGAAAATGTGAATATTGGATTAGAATTATATTCTAAGAAATGTATTTTTAACGTATTTTCTTTACGCTATTGAAAGTGTTTTTTTATGTAAATGTAACAGACGAAATGCAGATTACTTAGTCTTTATTATACTAGAGCGTAACGCATGAAATATTTGTTGCCTGTCTTCGCTTAGAAAAGGAATAATTTTTGTTTTGTATTATAAAGCATTAAGAAGTATTATATAGAAAAATTGGTTTTTCTAATATTAAGTTTGTTGGAATGTATGTTAAATCTCTTTATCAAGAGTGATTACTCTTTCGAGATTCTGAGGTAAGTGCTATACGACCCCACACAGTTCACTTACTAAACTGTGTCAATGCTTTTCTCACTCCATGGTCAAATTCTCCAGAGAAAGTGTCTATTTTTTGGCAATGCGATTAAATCCCAACCCACGTAATGCATCTTCTAAACCAGCGCCGTTCAAAATTATCTCCCGAGAGACAAATATCGTCCTCATCAACACTTTAAATGAATACCTCGCGCTTTTTATTCATTAGGATTCGAGGTTCATGTTTGACTTCTTAGGCTGCATATCCATTTGTTGCTTACCATTGCTGCATATTAATGTGGATGGGTAAATATTATATTATTGTGTATCGAAATGTGGTCCAAAGATACAGAATTATTTGCCGGTTTTTCGTCTTTATATCAAAGTCCGTGGACATACAGAAAAGTAATGTGGTAAAGCAGTTACGACTGATAGACAAAACAAGTGAATTATCCTTCCGTATATCCGCGGCCAAAGGGAAGGATGACGAGATATAGTCCACTCAAATCAGCCTCAAAGAAGGCCAAATTCGATTAAATTTTCTTATGCGATCTTATAGAAATCGTGTTCAGGGACAAAACCTATGTGTTTAGCACTCAAGATTTCTTGCATAAAATTTGTGAATATAAAATTTGTTAAAAAGTGTGCAAAGTTTCATCTTCAAATATTTAATATTTTGCAAAAAGCTATTTAACAACCAAAAATACAATGTTCGGAATTCGTACAGCAACTGGCGGGGGCTTTGTTTATTATCGAAAAGCTATGCTATCATATACAACTAGAAACTAATCGATTTTTTAACTTTCAACTATTTAAAAATAGCACCAAAAATTATACATCATTTTACTTTTTTTACAAGTCTATTAACACTGATAGAATACATTTAGATAACATAGAAGATTCATTTAGAGGATAACATTTGTGGTTAATATATATAGTATATATATAATACATAATAATAATATTTAATAACAAAGTAACAATTCCATTTTTTTAATGTTCGTTATAAAAGCATATGGAGGCAATGCTAATGATTATAACCAACAATAAATTAATGGCAGAAGTAATAAATTAAGCGTAAGCAACTAAAAATTTATGTATTCTGAAATCAATTTATTTTTAAATTATGCTACTGAATTAATAAATGTTTCAATGAAGTATGCTAAATTAAGCTGAAGATCCACTGAGGTTAATTTAAGCCAATCCAAGCTCAGCCCGTCCAAGCTGCACCACGTTAAATTACCATGGTTCTTGACACAGACCCTTTGTACATATCTGTATCAAAAGGTTCGTCTCCGGTTTTACAATGTACAGCAGTGCACATGCGGTTCGGGAAAGCTCCTTGAAGGGCTGCTGCGAATTTATGAAGCGCCCGGCGCATCTGAATCATGAGATGTGCCGAACATAGTACATTATAGTGAAAAAAACAAATAGATTTGGAGTTTTCCAATTGGTAGATCATGGGTCATAAATATGTAAATTGTTCGTTATTTACGATTAAAATTTGTTATCTATTATTCATTATGCGTGTACTCATTAAACTTTTCCTTTTAAAAATTAGAGTGTTAGGTGATTAAGGAATTACAAACTATTTTCTAGATAGTTTGATACGTTACAATAGATTGCAACGTATGAAATACAAAGACAAAAAATACCGCTTCATGTCTTTCCTTGTCTTTTACATGACAAAATAAAGTACGGATACGTATGCAACGGTGATACGCAACGGTGATACGCAATAGTGATACGCAATGGTGATACGCAATGGTAATACGCAACGATCATACGTAACGGTGATATGCAACGATCATACGTAACGATGATATGCAACAAATGGATATGCACCTTTTTAGCATCGTGCGGTTTCTTTGATGACGAACGAACACATTACACGAAATAAGAGATGGGATACCGTAGTTTTATTATCGACATCTCATAGCTCGATCACTTCGAGTCGCCGGCTACCTACTTTACATACGTTCGCTCAAACCGAGTTCTTACTGAACCTGACCACTCACTCATAAATTTCGGTATGGCTAAGTAGCGGTGGGCTATCTGCCATAATATTGTTAAAGAAATGCATTGTCGCATTCATGTAGGATCTCATTGTAAAAATTATATTTAATATTATTTTTGAAAGCAATGTTGTCTTAAGTTATATTAAATCTTTACAAAATATATAATAAAATAAATATTTAAAAAAATGATACCCTACTACACAAAATGGGAAAAATTAAGAAAACAAGGTGTACAATTGTGTTTTACTTAGAAATGTAAGGTACAGATTCAAATATTTTTAAGAATTTACAGAGAAGTTAAAAATGCCGCTGCGCACAGTATTTACAGAGTTTAAGCGAAATTGTAATCATACAATTGGAATAAGTGTTTGAGATACTTTCACGATACGTTAAAATATAGCAGTTAATGTTACGTCGAGTGCAATATCATCAAATTTCCAAACAGAACTATTAGTTATAAATATTTAATCAGTGCGAGTGTCCGACTACGGCAGTTTTAAACTCTATCATCTATCTGTAAATTCGGTAATTTAATATTATCATTCTACATTTAATTATTTAGAAATATCTGAACGAATATCTTATATTTCTGAGTAAAACACATACCATTTTGTCTTTTTCATTTTTTTAGTTTGCGGTAGTCGGATATCATTTTTAAAAATATTTACTTTATTTAATCTTCCTTAGCTTAATCCCTTTTTTACTGTTTTATAATTATAAATTATTCATCTTCAATTTGTCTATTTGCACATATATTATCTATATATGATATAACTTTCCTATAAATGTCTATAAATAAATGATTTGCAATGTGATAATGAATAATAATTGTTTCCAATATCATTTTTGGCTAAGTATAGTTCTATTTGTTGTTTTTGTACTCGAAATAGCATTATTTATTAAATATATATGTCGGATATGAAAGGATATCGGGGCCTTTCTTTTGGAATGTTTGAGAAGGTCGCCAATGCTTTAGTCCAGACCTTTTATTATAGCTGCACTTAAATAATAAAATTGAGACATAGTTGTTTATGTTCTAATCCGAGTATGGGTGCCCGAAATTTCTGACAGTGGTCTTGGGCTCAAAGTGACATAACAGATCGCTGAACGTAGTCACGGGTACAGGAGGGACGTGTACCTAACAGAGGTATGGAGTAATTATATAGCTCTCCTTAAAAACAAAGATTGACCCGCGAGGTACAGAGAGGTACAGATAGGAGTATATAAGGGCAGTTCCCTTGGATTGAGGTTCAGTCCGATAAGTTCTACTTGTACGGTGGACAAGTACGTTGAGTCACGCCAGAATCGTGGATCAAATCGCATTTGTCATCCTGTTGACCGTGGATTCGTTATCGAACCTAAATTCATTGTTATCAACATCTCGATTATCTCATCACCGCCATTACTTGTTAAACTCTGTAGTAATTACATTTGCATCAGTAAGATATCATCTATAATACATTACAACGATGTACAATACACCTGAAGATTCGTTATATGCCCCTAAGTCCAATGATAACCCGACATATATATGAAACATCTGCCGTAAATAGCAAATGATAAATAACAGGATGTATCCTCTAAGATCAACTACCATTGTTTCAAACAAAAGTTACAAATGTTTCGAACAAAAATTAGTTAGTTTTCAGCTCAGTAGACATTTTGATATTAAACATTTTCAAAACTCCGTTATCGATAAAAAAATCAGTCACCGTGATTTCTCTAAATGATTTATTTTGGATTTTACAGAGTTGTAGCTAACGTCAAGATGAAATCAACGACTTACTATACTGTGAACTCATTATTATTATGATGACTTTGAACGAGATAGTTCATTATAACGCGTACTGCAAAAGAATAATATCGTTATTGCTGGATTTTGGAAATAAACTTATTAGTTTGACAGTCTTAATTAAATTACATATTTTCTGAATTCTGCATGTAATTTGACTGAAGTAAAGTAATTTTCCATGTTGTTTCTCGTGACTGCACTTAAATTTCTGAATTCAAGGTCATCTCAAGGCCATAGCATAGTAGGCAATCGCTAAATTCGTTAGCTACAACTTAGCTACAACTCTATCAAGTTCACAACATATAATGTCATTTAAAAAAAATGAAGATGACCTTGATTTCTTATTAAATAAAATCCTATATACTACAGAGCTTACAGCATTCTCGTAACGTACACGAATCGATTGAAACCTAAGTAAAAATCAGTAAAATTATACATGTTATAAACATATATCTAATAAACACAAACATTCAGGCTAGACGCAATACCCTCCTCCTAGCATAGTGGGATAAAAATTGTTTTTTGTCCATTCTTTATTTTCAGAACTAATATCTGTATCACATACCATTGCAAGAAAATTTAGAAAATCAACGACACATAATATATGCACTACGTCCATCAACGACCCTTTTCAAAGGTAATGTTAATATCATAATATTCGATTTAACCGCAGAAGAACTTAAAGTAAATTTAAAAAAATTACTCAAATTCGTGCGTATTCATCACCATTACAAAGAAAATACTAAAGAAATTCCATCACGTTTTGAACTAAAAAATAAAATAAAAAAAAAAATAAAAAATACACAGCACGCAAAGAGAATGGATGAATGTTAAATTTTATGCATATAAATCATGTATGCAAACGAATAATATGTGTACATTGCTCAGAATTATTAAAGAATTACTACTATGAAGGATAATAATAATATATAAAGATATAATATATAAAGAATAATAATATATAAAAGAATAAAAAATAATAATATATAAAGAATAATAATATAAATGTAAATGAAAATTTATATTTTTGTGGATGCAATTAAAGCAGTGGAATCTAAGTAGAAAATTCTTTCGGTCACTAAATAATCTAACGAATAAATTACCTCGGATGTAATTTTACATATTTTTGTATATTATATGCATTATATATATTTTTGCATTTTCAAATTTTCCATAAATGCATAAACATCTGCTGGAGATAAAGACCGACCTTAAAACGATTATTAAAAAACAACTGTATACATGGATTGGTTATAAAAATTAAAGACACGTGAAAAACGATCGTCTTATTATTCTGGATAGTGCAATTCTTCATATAATGTAAGTAAAGAATATAAACTTAATAAATGGGTGTTACGATTTAAAAAAAATTGAGAAACGCTGCTTTAAACGATTCAACTTTCTTTGAACGTTTAATAAACATTTTTCCTTCATTTAAGAGGTAATCAATCAAATCTTTCTAAAAACAACGTATTTCGAAGAAACGTCAATAAACAGTATAATTTCTATACTGCAACGAAATTAATTCAGACGAACAATCAATCTTCGTCCAATCGGTAATACGTATGTATATGTTAATCGAGATGTGTTAATAGAAAGTTCTCGTTCAAGGATACAGTTGAAGACTAGAAAAGAAAGAAAGAAGAAAACGATTCGTACCTCGCCATGGAAAGTAAAATTTCCCACTTGTATGAACGGTATTAGCTTCAACTCGTACGAATCTGGCACCACAGATCTTGGTAATCGGACGTCCAATTTTTTCTTGTTATACGTGTCCTTATTAAACAGACCACGACCCTCGAATTCTGAATTACAGAAGTCACCGCATGGTTTAACGAGCTTTTCCTCAAGACATGGCGCAAGATGATAGACCAGAAGCCCGGTCACGACCAAAGATATAAAGACAGCAGCACCAAAAAGGAAAGCGCCGCAAGGAGAGACTGTGCAACCTCTTTTACGTCCAAACGTTGTTGTGTGTGCGTCCATCATCGCCAAAACCTCGCGGGACTGGGTCATATCACGTGTAAACCTGAAACGACGAAAAGAAAGTGAGAATTTTGGTCTTGATAAGCATCCGATAATACTGTCGTATATAGTGGTACTATTTTTGGCAAAATTAAGGTTATTGTTAGAGAGGAAATCTAGAATTAAAATAGAATTTGAAGGTGAAAGATTATTCAATAATTCATTATTAATAAATATTAATAAATAATTAGTAATAAATGAATATGGATATTTAGAAATATTTAGAAAATATTAAATAATAATTTAAAAGCAGTATCTTTAACTTTATGTTAAAGTTATTATTGTGAACTAATTTATTGACAATCATAAAAGATATATTTAAAATTTTAAATGTGTCATTCTGGATTCGGGTTAGGCTACTATATGTAAACTTTCAATTACTTTTTGTAACTAACAATTGGTTTTTGTAACTAACAATTGACATAGACGTAAAAATATTTTTTATTTTGTATACATATAATATACCAGACAAATAATGAATTAAAGATTTACTTTATTGCATTAGAATAGAAATTTACAGCAATTATATTTATTATTGGAAATAAGGGCGACCTCACTGACTTCATGACTTTGAAATATGTTATCAAGCTCAACATTCTGAACCTCTTTCGACATATGTACATTACGATATGTGATTATAAGCTAAGAAAACAGAATCGCCAATTAGTAATGTACAACAACACTTGATAATTTTAAATTGTATCAAACTATATTAATTTATACATAATTAATTTATTATTGATTAGTATTCCTTGTTCTCTTATAAGGCAATATTGAAGCTAAATTCTACATTCGTTCATACAAGCTGTATTCTGTAAAGAATATTTTGAATGCATGTATAAAGAATATTAAGAAAGATTTTCGAAATATGTATTGTATTATACAATGAATATTCGGTGTCTCGAATATATTCAGACTCTAGTATAATTTTAACTTCTATGTTCTATATCTGAAACAAATATAGACAAGACAACAGAAATGTTTAGCAACACATTGAATGTCAGCATTACATGAATGTCAGAAAGTAAAAAGCTTTTAATTTAAAATAAACCATTGATTAAATATTTAAAAAATTATTGAAATAAAGTGAATTTTCATATCCCAAAAATGTTCAGACACTTTATAAATTGAAAAACACTAAAACAACAGTTAAAAACACTAAAATGACAATTTTTGCTAAAAATTTTACCTGATACTCCTTTTGTTCAGTAACATCTTTTAAGCAGTTCAATGTGATGAAGATTATTTTTTGTTAGTAATCGACGCTATATTTTATTCCTCAATTACTCGAGATTATCATTTTCCTTTATTGTTTATTATTTTCCCCAATGCAGTTCATTCCATAGGAATGATCATACTTATGTAAAGAAACTTGTTATCTTAATTTGATAACATAAATTTTCTAATATCTCCCAATATCCTTGCAACTTGAAAATGCATATTCTTCATCGGTTTATCTTGTAATACTCGGGTAACATTACATAATTAATTAACAGATTTTTTATGTTTGATACATTTTAAATTAGCGAATTTTTTATTTCTGACATCTATAGACCGTATTGTAATATGTTATGTTATAATTTTTTAGAATATTTTATGTCAGTAGTCAAAAAAGGAAAACTATACTGATTTATTGTCGAAGTACTAGAACTTAAATGGAAAAAAATGAATTTTAAATTTGCGAGAATATCACAATACATTACAAATCAAAGATATTAAATTAAGATAAGAAGTTTTTACAATATGACCGCCTCTACGGAATGAACAGAACTACAGGATTAGTAAGAAACAATAATAAACACTAAAGAAGAATGACAAATTCGTTTAACAGAAGAATAACATACAGCATTGATTACTAACAAAAAATAATCTTCTACATATTAAACTAGTTAAAACATCTCTTTTTGAGGATAAGCAAAAGGGGCATCGAATAAATTATTAAACCTTTATACAAAATTGCCAGTTTAGTTTTTTAACATTAATTTATAAAATGCTCGAATATTTTCGAGACATGAAAATTCGCTTCTTCTTTCAACATTTCTTTCAATATTTGAATAACGATTTATTTTAAGGCAAAAGCTTTTTGTTTTCTGACATCTATATAGTATATTTCAATATACTACATCTTTGTTGTTTTATCTGTATTTATTTTAGATATAGAACACAGAGTTAAAGTTATGCTAATAATCGGAATATTCTCGAGTATTATTAGTAGTTGAATATTTTTATGATATAACTAATTTTTCTTCCTTCAAAATATTTAAAAACTATTTGACAGTCTTAAGGCATTTACGATAATGACCTTATAATAGCAACTAATCTATATCTTTAAGAAATATTTTCATATGATGTTATACATGTAGACAGTAGATATGAATATTTAGATATTCCCTTTATGGTATTATGTGTCTGTAGTTTTATCTGGTTCAAAATTTTGTTAGATAGTAAATAAACTCCTAATTAAACATAAGATTTATTATAGAATGTGCTATGAGAAGAAAGGAAGTTCACATTATGAATAAATTACTTGAATCACTAATAAAGGGATGACACAGATATAATAAGTTTATTGAAACATTATTTAACAGGATCCTTCAAAAGGATTTGATGTCTAGCGAATAAAAGCAGATTGCACAAAATATTAATCATTTCAATGATTATAAAAATGACTGTCTTAAACCATTATACATATATGTAGATATATCGGTTCTGATTGAAATAATTATGAGAACCGAACAAATATTATAACTTTTATGGATATAAGGGTTCTCGCTCATATCGGTTTTGTTTTCGGTTATTTGGTACCGATATTGCGTAAATTTCATATCGGTTATGTAACTGTCATTTTTCGGTTCTGCATCAGTTACGACCCAGTTCTATAAGGTCATATAGTAGATATCAGCATTCTAATGCCGGTTCGATTTCGGTTCTTATTGATTCATTTATTGATTTTGCGAAAATATTGATATGTATTAAATACATATTACAAGTATGGTATTACGTATCTTAAGATTGAAATTAAAAAATTTATTTCTATAAATTAGGAATTTTAATTACTTGTAATTTCATTGTAGTGGGGTCTCATAATTAATATATCGTTCATTATTTTTGCAATTATTTTCGAACGATATGCAGATAAAATAAATTCCCATCCCAAAAATTTATTTCGGTTTTCGGTACTACGTACGAAGTGTAAAGAAAGTAAGTATAAAGGAATCGTAGCGTTATTCTACATTGTACACTTTCGGATTGGTAGAAATTTGAAAAAGAAGGTACTGTGGAAACGACATTAACCTTGATTATTGCAACGCATTCTACTCATTACGAGGAATAGAAATTTAGAATGTCGGAAATTACCCCTTCTCTCGGAAAAACATGGTAAAATTTTAATGATTCTCAAATTAACTTTATTCGGAACAAATATATATAGGGTCATTGGTAACTGGTGGTACAAGCGGAAAGGGGGCGATTCTACGCGAAAAAAGAGGTCGAAAATATAGAATAAAAATTTTTCGTCTGAGGCTTTGTTTTCGAGAAAATCGACTTTGAATTTTCGCTCGGTATGCCTGCATTTTATCACGTCTCGTTATAACGGATCTCACTGTAGATCGTTATCTCGATGGAAAAATTAAAAAAAAAATTTTTATTCTATATTTTCAATTTCTTTTTTCACGTAGAATCACCCCCTTTCCGCTTGTATCACCAGTTACTAATGACCCTGTATATTTGTACTTATATTTACATTTACTCTTAGTAAGTGAAATAAAGTGATTCGCTACTCATGGGTCACATCATTCTTTAGATCACTGAACTTCCTTCTTTGTGGAATAAGATACATCCTTCATGATTCGGTTCTATCTGTTCGATAGTAATGCCAAGTCGAGTATACTTTCTATTGCCTACGATACAAAATAAATATTTGCAAAATCAAACAGATTTTTGATATTTTATTGTGTTTTACTTAACTACGATTCCGAATACCTATCAGAATCATCATTGGCGGAAAAGAAACCGGAGTGGAATACATCGAATTAAACGTCGTTTTTATTATTGAAAGTGAAGAATTACACATAATTTTGGGGATAAGCTTGAGCGAGAAAAAGAAAAAGAAAAGGACAAAAAAAGGAATATGTGCAATACATAATGAGAGATTTGGAATATTAATCTGTATTAATAGATGCTACTTTTTTTACACGTCACTGGCAATAAAACCAGTTTAAAGAATTTAAGCCAGCTGAAACTTTAACATTTTTTTTTTTTTTTTTTTTAAGGAAATGTCATTTACGCCTCATGGTTTCTTTCAGAATTTTGTTTCTTATGATGCGTAGAATACGTTGCAATAATATAAAATTTTGATCCTGAACTTCAAGGTTAAGGTCATTTCTCCACTAGCTTTTTTATAAATCTTTATCTTTTATACCCTGTACATATATCGATTTCGGTTTCGGTACTCATCTATTTCGGTATAGATTTGTCATCGTAATAGCGTAATGCACAAGCTTAGAGGTATCGGAATTTAAAGTCATCCCGTTCTCGATTTCGATGCTTTTCAAATATGTTGCAGAAATCAACATTTTGAAGATCTTCTTCCTACACATGTTACCCCGAGACTCTCTTAGGTTCCGAGATATCCGCAAATAATCGTCGGTACTACTACAGTTAATCCTGCTCATACCTATTTATGTCTATTTTTGATACAGCGACAAGCATAGTCGCCTCGCTCAATCTTCATTTATATAAATACAAACAAAAGAATGGGGTTAGGTCCCTTGCGACTAGTCCTACAAATTCCATCCGAATACTTTAATATCAAACATTTGTTTTCAATATTAATAGTTTTTTGTCATAAATAGGATAATAATTTCTTTTGTAAGGAATTCCATGATAGATTGATTGACGTGTTAAAAATGTGCGGTTCTATTAAAAAGGATAAGGTTGACCTTTATACAATTCTTGAACAATTCTCACAACACATTCACAGAGATTCAAGTGACACGAGATTTA